GCTACAGCTCATGATATTTTGATTCTGTACATTTTTTTTGACATTATTCATAATAATATTGTTGCTGTGTCAAATATTCTGCTTCAATCCATAATATTTTGACCAAGACGTTGTGTATCTGGGCAAAATCCAACCCAACCCAACTCATGACATCTAAACAATCCTCAGATATTTTCCCGACATTGATGTTTCTAATTTCTGCTCTATACTATATTCTGCATCTGCGTATAATGTTCTGTTTTTGCCTATGATATACTGCTTCTGCTGGTAATATCTTCTGCATATAACCATGATGTTATACTTAGTTCTTACATTTCACCTTTTCAATTAAAAATTTGCTACTTCTCGTGAAATTTTAATTATTTCTACCCATAATATTTTCTGTCTATGGTGTCTTGTAAAACATCATGCCCTCCTGTTTTTTTGCCTCTGTTACTTTGCTTCTCCAACTGATGATTTGCTTCTGTACTTGATATTAGCTTTTGGGCATGATTTATTGCTTCAGCCATAACATTTTGTTTCTACCTGTGATATTTCCGCCAATCAGCATAATGTTTTCTCCTAGAAATAATCATAACGTCATTTTTGCTGGTGATATCTCGCTTATTTTCTGATGATTTACTTCCGTTGCGATATTTTACTTTGTACATGTTTTCTCCCACCCTAAAAATTTGCTACTGCTCATGGTATTTTGATTCTGTCCATAATATTTTGCTTAAGCAACATTTTGTTTATGCATATGATATTTTGAATTTGAGCATCATGTTTTCTCCTAAAAATGATCATAATGTCATATTTGCTTTTGGTATCCCAAATCAATAAATAGTTTATCATGTATTACGCTTCTATGTATATATTTTCTGGTTATGGAACCTTGCTAAACATTATGCGCAAACGGTTTTTTTTCATACCGCCAAATACGCTGCTTCTACTTATGATTCCATTTTTGAACATGACGTCTTATTTCTGCTCAAGACATTTTGCAACTGCGTGTGATATTTTGCTTCTGTCCATGAACATTTATTTTATTTCAACCTAAGATATCTTAGGTTGAAATAAAAGAAATAGATTTTATCTAATAATACGTTGCTTTTGCGTATGTTGTTCTCTTCTGCAAATAGTTTTTTCTACTGATTATTTGCTTCTGTCCATAATATTTAATTCTGAGTGTAACATTTTACTGCGAATGGGAATAATGTTGTTTCTGTGCCAAATATTCTGCTTCAACCCATAATATTTTGCCCAAGATGTTGTGGGTAAAATCCAACCCAACCCAACTCCTGACATTGTTTAGATGTCATGAGTTGCCATCCATCATTCCTTAGATATTTTCCCGACATTGATGTTTCTAATTTTTCCTTTATATATTCTGCATCTGCGCATAATGTTCTGTTTTTGCCTATGATATACTGCTTTTGGTGATATCTCTTCCGCATATAACCATAACTTTTGTATGTGACCATGACGTTACATTTATTTCTGATATTTTATCTAAAAATTTGCTAGTGTTCATGATATTATTATTTTCTTCACCTGTCCATAATATTTTGGTTAAGCAACATATTGTTTCTGCATATGATATTTTGAATTTGAGCATCATGTTTTCTTCTAAAAATGATCATAATGTCATATTTGCTGTTGATATCCCAAATCAATAGATAGTTTATCATGTATTACGCTTTTATGGATATAATTTCTGGTTATGGTACCTTGCTAAACATTATGAGCAAACGGTTTTTTCTTCAAATCGCCAAATACATTACGTCTTATTTCTGCCCAAGACATTTGGAACTGCGTTTGTTATTTTGCTACTGTCCATGACCATTTATTTCTACATAAGATATTCTGTATTTACGCATAATATTTTGCTTTTATCTAATAATATGTTGCTTTTGCGTATGATGTTCTCTTCTGCAAATGGTTTTTTCTACTGATTACTTGCTTCTGACCATAATATTTAATTCTGAGTGTAATATTTTACTGCGAATGAGTATAATATTGTTTCTGTACCAAATATTCTGCTTCAACCCAAAATATTTTACCCAAGACGTTGTGTATCTGGGCAAAATCCAATCCAACCCAACTCATGATATTTCAACAACCCTCAGATATCATTGTAAAACTTTGTAAGTTTTAAAGATGTCAAAACGACTCTACAATTAATTATGAAGTCGAATGAGGAGGAAGATTATGTGCAGAAACGAGATGAAGCCTCTGCCACAGTTAGTTATGATGAAAGTGATGAATAATGTATTGGAAAGAGCGAAATATCTAACTGGGGATAAACTTAAGTATACATAGCATCTTAAGGGTAGACCATATATTCTGCTTCAACCCAAAATATTTTACCCAAGACGTTGTGTATCTGGGCAAAATCCAACCCAACCCAACTCATAACATCTGAACAACCCTCAGATATCTTTGCAAAACTTTGTAAATTTTAAAGATGTCAAAACGACTCTACAATTAATGATGGAGTCAGATGAGGAGGAAAATTATGTGCAGAAACGAGATGAAACCTCTGCCACAGTTAGCTATGATGAAAGTGATGAATAACGTATTGGAAAGAGCAAAATAACTAACTGGGGATAAATTTAAGTATACATAGCATCTTAAGGGTAGCCCATAAGTTGTTACTTTACATAATAGGCAAAGTTTAGAGATATTTCTAGATTTATTCTTCACAATATTTGCATTAACAAACAACTCGAGAGGAAAGTAAGATTATTAACGAGCTTTTTGCTATTCGTGAAATCTTAAGGATTTTTTTTAAACTGCTCATTTATGCCGACTTTTACCACCTCCTGATAAATTTATTCGATAGATAAGTCCAGTTCTTAGCCAATGAGAGCGCTTAAAACCGCCGTAACCATGGCAACTATCTTCTAGATAGTTTATCAGGAGGATGGTAAAAGTGGGCCTTAGTAAACTAACTAACACAATTTAACTAAGTTCAGCAAATTATAAGAAATTTGATTCGCAATCATCATAAATAAGTTTTTTAAAAACATTTTTCTTTCTCGTGCTTCGATGACGAATATTTGCAAACTTGTGTAATAATTAATTTCATTTAGTCATTTCAATGATATGGAAATCTATAATATTTATAATTCGTTCTAATCAATTAATATTAATTTAATAAATGCGACTAATCGTTATTGTCCATTTTACACAAACAACGAACTTAAAACTGGTGATTTGTACACAAACAACGCAAACGAAGTGACGAATTCAAAAAAAAATAATAAAAAAATTAAAAATTAAAACACAAAAAGTAAATGTAAGTGGTGAATGATGACGTGGAATAAGAATTAAAAAATAATAATTAAAAAAGAAGTATACAATTAATTAATACATGCTAAACGGACACAAAAAAATTGAATGAAATTAAAAAAAATTAAATTTGATCTCTGTTAGGTGTGTATTTTACATTTACGATTTTGGCAGTACTTTTTTTTTGTTATAATTAATTTTGGTTGTTAATATGAAAAGAATTATTTATTATCCATGCTCACTCATTCTAGTTTTGCACACGCGCGTTTTTTTCTTAAATTGGTAAAAACAATATTTTTTTAAATAATAGGACTCAATAAAAACGGATTTTTCTTAAATTTAAGCCAATCACAAAAAAATCTATTAATAAGGTGTATCCACACTGAATGCTCGCGAGTTTTGGAGCAGATTTGAATGTCTGGATACAGCTTAAGATTGAGATGAATAAGATTAATAAAATTAAGATTAATCAACAGCTTATTAGAAAGAGAAAAAAGAGTGTTTTGTGGAATGTTCGTTAATAAATTAATCGATTAATAAAACAAAAAAATAATTAAAAAGAAAAAACAAAAAACTTCATGCCATCTACGGTGCAATTGATGAAAATGAAAAATAATATTTTAACAAGTTAATAATTCGGGAATTAATTGAATTTTATGCGTACAGTTTCATTAAAATTAAATTAATGAGAAAGTTTATACTTATAGATGAATTTTCTTATACATATATATATTTTTAACATATTTGTAGTATTTAGAAAATATTTAACAAGCCAATATAATATATAGATTTTAAATAAAATAACAACCGCAAATTTAGCGTTTTTTCTATTTAACTACTCTTAAAAAGTTTTCCTACACTCATTATTTTAATAAATATAATAACTAGTGGATAAAAATGTATTATTTGTTTTTAAGTACGATTATATTTAAAAAGATCTATAAAAATATTGATTGGATCTAAAAAAAAAAATAACAAACTAAATCTTTAACAAACAACTCCTAAATATTTAATAAACCTTTCTAATTCATCATCAATTTAATTTTATTTTCCTGTACGCATCCAAATAGAACTCACTTTTAATACCCATACACCACATTTTTTCTCCTAAAAATTCTTAAACATTTTTTTCCTTAAAGTCCCTAGACGAAAAAGTCCATCAAAGTTCTCCAAATCATCTCGAAGAACACAACGTTGTTATAATAAATTTTCGTTAAACCCCTGTACCCCAATAGTGATTAAATTTACAATAATAATTAAAACCGTTGTTAAAAAAGTTCGTTCAGGAAAGTCTTTTTTGGTATTTTCTCGGTTTGTTAATATTACGGGGACCCGTTTATTAGCGGAGTTCTTTCTTTAACACCAGACGCCACCAATCACCAGTATTAAAACTGTCATTGCTGGGTGAAGGAGCACAGAGGCAGGCCTCGGACTCGGGGAGGACGAATAAAACGGACCTATGAGGTGAAATCTCACTCAAAAAAAATTTTACATAATCATCGTAGGCACACAAAAATCGTAAAAGTAAAATAACTATAAAAAAAAAATGGAAAAGAAACTTTTTACGTTAAAAAAAATATTTAAAGATTTTCTTTAAAGATTTTTTATCAAATAAGAAACGGCATAAAAGAACAAAACGAAAAGATTTATCGAATTGATTGAAGGAGTACTTCCTGAGGAGGTTCCTTCCGCGTTTACGGACATGTAATGAAAATATTCGCTCTTACCTCGGGCTGTTTTAACCCTAATTTGTGCGGGGCTACTCGCACCTATCGCGTTATGAGCCCTAAGCTCAATTTTGTACGTTGTGTCCGGTAGAAGATCGCTTAACTCGTAACTTTGGAATTGAGATGGCTGCGTTATTTCCGAGCTGCATTCTGATTCTGAATCTCTCCATTCACCATTAATCCTATCAGTCTAAAAAATAATAATTGGCTTATTATTAATTCATTCAAAATTTGATATGGTATTGAGTAAAACTTTGATATAACGGATTAATACGTAATAAATTTAATGCAGACAAGAATGAAAACATGGTGTATAACTCGAAGGCCCGTTCGTGACGTCACGCATGGGTCTCCAGACGCACGGCTAAACCCGAAATTTTCTAGTTCTAGATCTAATGTTAATTCAATGAAAAATTTGTAACACTTTAACGCTGAATAACAATTAAAACTAGAATTATCACTAGCATTAGAAATAATACTAGACCTAGAACTAGAATCATTCGGGTTTAGCCGCACGTCTCTTAAAACGGCATAAAGTTATGCATAATCTGTAGAAGAAAATCTTTCGAGTTGTGCAAAAAAAATGGTTAGGAAATGGGTGGGGTTGGTTTAAATTTATTTAATACTATTGATGACGACGCGACGTTATAATTGGTGGAATTCTATCCGTTACAAAAATGACTAACGTGTTAAATAAAGATGATGAAAATCTGATAATCAGTCAGATGCGAAAATTATAGAAAGAATCATAACAAAAAATGAATTTCTAGAGGCTTTTTCTACAGTACAGCATTACATTGGAGCCAACTATACAAAAAATATCAAAAAATAAAAGAAATGAACCACCCCGTAGGAGTAGGCGAAGAACTTTGAAATTATGTAGAATCAGTTAGTCCATGTAGACAAACAAATGATTAAATTTTGACGATCATCATCAGCTGATAGAAATTATCTGTCAGTTAGGTCCTGAAATTGCGTGTTGTTGAATAGTATTTTTCGGAGTAGTTCGCCGTTTGTTTGTGATTGTTGTCATTGCATTAGTAAAGTTAGTGTCTCAAAAATGCAACGAGTTCGAAGACGTGCAAATTTTCGCCATCTTAAGCCCTTCGAAAGAGGACGAATTATCGGGATGCATGAGGCTGGTTTAAGCTTTTGGGAAATTGACCGACCTCACGCCACTATCAGATGGACTTGGATGGATTGGCAGGAAGAACGCTTAGTAACCGGTCGTAGAGGCAGTGGACGTCCTAGAATGACAGCAGCACGCGAACGTCGGCTGTTAAGGTGAAGTGCAATACAAGACCCTGCTGTTGCAATGAACTAGATACGAGCAATTGGTCGCAGAGTGTGTATGATTACGATTTATCGTGGAGTACGCACATTTGGGTTACGTTCATATCGTCCTTATTTTCGTCTTCCTATGACTCAACAACATAAAGATGCCAGACTGCAGTGGAGCCAAAACCGACAACATTGGGAAACTATCGTCTTCAGTGACGAATCCCGATTTTGCATATGGAATTCTGACGGACGTTTACGGATCAGACGACCTAGAGGTCGGAGGCAAAATTTACAGTTTGTTCAGCGTCACCACACGGCTCAAACTCCTGGTGTAATGCTGTGGGGAGCAATACGCTACGGTGGGTCTCCTTTGACATTCGTTCAGGGTACCCTAAACGCGCGCCGTTACATTGACGTCATTCTGGAGCCCGTGTTAGTGCCTTTCCTCCAAGACCTTCCAGAGTCCTTCCTCATATTGCTCACGTAACGTTAGAGTTCCTAGCACAAAACAATGTTCTGCAATTGCCTTGACCGGCAAGATCCCCAGACTTAAACCCTATTGAACATGTCTGGGATATGATGGACAGAAAATTGCGTCGATTACCCCATCCTCCCAACACTTTAGAGGAATTACGTCAACAGCTACAGGTAACCTGGAATGAGCTGCCCCAAAAGCCAATCGACCATCTGATTTCCATGCCACGAAGGGTTACTGAATGTATAAGAGTACGCGGAGATGCAACACATTATTAACGATATTGTCAATAAATATTGTCATTTGTTTATGAAAATTTAATGATTTGTTTGTCTCTAGGCACTAACTATTTCTGCGTAATTTTGAAGTTCTGCGTCTCCTACTTCGGGGTGGTTCATTTCTTTTGAAACCCAGTAATATAATAATATAGTTGTTTAGTTAACTTCTATGCTATTTTGTTATATTACATATTTGGCAACATTGGTTATAACTAGTGGTGGCAAATATCCGGCTTTGGCCGGATATTAAAAACCTATTACTTAGTACTCCACCATACACAGGAATTAGTATCTCTTTTAGGTGTTGGACACTGCAGATAATAATCAAGTTCAACCCCAATAGGACTTTTTTCATTGAATACAACTTTATTTATATTAGGTTTATGTTTAGCAACCTCATTGTAACAGTCCCAATACGATATATAAAATCTCTTGCAGTTTCGTCTAGTTTCCCTTTCTACCCTTGTAATTCATCATCACATTCATTACTTAAAATAAAGTATCCTCTTCTTAATGCAAAAAGCCGTTTTGAAAAATCCCTTCCAGTTTTTGAGAAATAAAATTTTGAAATGATCGACAATTTTTTCGAATTTTGTAATTTTCGCTGATAAAGTTTTAAAAATTCGTATAAAATGCAGTTCTTGGAATGTGAGTGTGAAAATTTCCCAAAGTGATAATAAAAGTGTCTCCTTTCCAATGAACCAACCCATTTTGAAAAATAGCTTTTAGTTTTTGAGAAAACAATATTTGAAGTTTTGATAACATTTTCAATGTTGCAATTTTCATCGATAATTTTTAAAATTCGCTATAAAATTCATTTCTTGAACGATCCTTGTGGAAATATCACCAATTATTAATTAAGGTATCATCTTTTTAATGCAAAAAGCCGTTTTGAAAAATCGTTTTTAGTTTTTGAGAAATAAATTTTTGAAATAATGGAAAATTTTTTCGAATATTGCAATTTTCGCTGATAAAGTTTTAAAAANTCTCAAAAATGCCACGAGTTCGAAGACGTGCAAATTTTCGCCATTTTAAGCCCTTCGAAAGAGGACGAATTATCGGGATGCATGAGGCTGGTTTAAGCTTTCGGGAAATTGGCCGACCTCACGCCACTATCAGACGGACTTGGATGGATTGGCAGGAAGAACGCTTAGAAACCCGTCGTAGAGGCAGTGGATGTCCTAGAATGACAGCAGGGCGCGAAGATCGGCTGTTAAGGCGAAGTATTGCACTTCGCCTTATCAAGCCGTAGCAAGACCCAGTAGAACCAACGTGTGCTGTTGCAATCAATTGGATACGAGCAATTGGTCGCAGAGTGTCTATGAGTACGATTTATCGTTGGTTACGCACATTTGGGTTACGTTCATATCGTCCTTATTTTCATCTTCCTATGACTCAATAACATAAAGATGCCAGACTGCAGTGGAGCCAAAACCGACAACACTGGGAAACTATCGTCTTCAGTTCAAAATTTACAGTTTGTTCAGCGTCGCCACACGGCTCAAACTCCTGGGCATTACACCAGGAGCGTGTGGGGAGCAATACGCTACTGTGGTTGGTCTCCTTTGACGTTCATTCAGGGTACCCTAAACGCGGACTTAAACCTTATTGAACATGTCTGGGATATGATGGACAGAAAATTGGGTCGATTACCCCATCCTTCCAACACTTTAGAGGAATTACGTCAACAGCTACAGGTAATCTGGAATGAGCTGCCCCAAGAGGCACTCGACCATCTGATTTCCAGCATGCCAGGAAGGGTTACTGAATGTATAAGAGTACGCGGAGATGCAACATTGTTAACGATATTGTCAATAAATATTGTCATTGGTTTATGAAAATTTAATTATTTGTTTGTCTCTAGGCACTAACTATTTCTACGTAATTTTGAAGTTCTGCGTCTTCTCCTTCGGGGTGGTTCATTTCTTTTGAAACCCAGTGTATATTCACTTTAAATAATTGTATAATATAGCTGTTCAGTAAATTTTTTTGCTATTTTGTTATATTCAGTGTTGTTAAATACCCGGGTATTTATTTTTAAGGGTAAATATCCTGGATATATACCCGTAGGTATTTACCCAAGATGGGTATTTTGAGGTATTTATAAATTTAATTTAAATTGAGTTGATGGCAGTTTTGCAAGCACTTCAAAAATGCAGAGTCACTTATCGACATACCAAACTTATTTATAACATCTACAAGAATGCTACAATGACGGTAAAATTGCATGAAAGTACTGAAGAGAGTAAATGTAGTAAAGTACTGATTGTGAGCAAAACAAGGCGGGACACTGTTGAACTCAAATTGTTCATCACAGTCCTCAGAGTGCATTTAAACAACTGGATTGGACCCAAAAAGGCATAACCATTGATTGTAAATGCTTAAATAATTTGCACTACGCGGACAATATAGTTTTTATATCGGATAGCCTTGGAGAGATTAAACTAATGATGAACGACTTAAAGGAGGTGTGTGCAAGAGTCGTGCTAAATATCAACAAGGAGAAATCAATCAAATAATGAGATTGAGAGGGTTCACAGCTATGTATATCTTGGCTATGAGGTTCGTGTATCGAGAGATAATCAAACAAGCGAACTAAACAGAAGAATCTTAGAGACATCTTCAAGAGAAAAGGCCAAGAAAGGCTTTCAATCAATGCTTGTTTTCGGTTATGACATAAGGCTTAGAAACTTTAACATTAACGGTAACCACTGCTAGGAGGGTCCAAGTAGCGCAAAGATAGATGGAGAGGTCGATCCTGGGTCTAACTCTGAGGGACTACATACGAAATGAGCACCTATGAAGAAGAACGGTCATGTGATGCGAATCAAGAATGAGCAGTGGACAAAACGGTTGCTCGAGTGAAGACCGCGAGCGAACAGACGAAGTGGACGTCAAAAGAATGACCAACAATTGGATTCAAACAGCATAGAATAGGGAAGGTTTATGTCCAACAATGGACGCAGAGGGCTGTTTGGTGATAATAATCATAATAACTTGATCTAATGTAAATTACGGCAGATTCGTCTTTGATTGTTGACAATTCCTCGTCTTCCTGTTCATTTTTATTGGAATCGATATATTTTTACTGGTATCACTTTTATACCCACTGTTTGGGTATTTACCCTGGGCCGGGGTAAATACCCGGATAAATACCCATTTTAGAAATACCTACCCGCCAGGTATTTACCCAACGCCCATCACTGGTTATATTACATATTTGGCAACATTGGTTATAAGTAGTGGTGGCAAATATCCGGCTTTGGCCGGATATTGCAAACCTATTACTTAGTACTCCACCATACACAGGAATTAGTATCTCTTTTAGGTGTTGGACACTGCAGATAATAATCAAGTTCAACCCCAATAGGACTTTTTTCATTGAATACAACTTTATTTATATTAGGTTTATGTTTAGCAACCTCATTGTAACAGTCTCAATACGATATATAAAATCTCTTGTTGCAGTTTCGTTCTTCCCTTGTAATTCATCATCACATTCATTACTAACAGAATCACTTTTAGTTTTTGAGAAATAAATTTTTGAAATAATGGACAATTTTTTCGAATATTGCAATTTTCGCTGATAAAGTTTTAAAAATTCGTATAAAATCCAGTCGTTGGAATATGAGTGTGAAATTTTCCCAAAGTGATAATAAATGTGTCTTCTTTCCAATGAATCAACCCATTTTGAAAAATATCTTTTAGTTTTTGAGAAAACAATATTTGAAGTTATGATAAAATTTACGATGTTGAAATTTTCATCGATAATTTTCAAAAATCGCTATAAAATTCATTTCTTGAACGATCCTTGTGGAAATATCACCAATTATTAATTAAAGTATCCTCTTTTTAATGCAACAAGCCGTTTTGAAAAATCACTTTTAGTTCTTGAGAAATAAATTTTTGAAATAATCGNATACCCACTGTTTGGGTATTTACCCTGGGCCGGGGTAAATACCCGGATAAATACCCATTTTAGAAATACCTACCCGCCAGGTATTTACCCAACGCCCATCACTGGTTATATTACATATTTGGCAACATTGGTTATAAGTAGTGGTGGCAAATATCCGGCTTTGGCCGGATATTGCAAACCTATTACTTAGTACTCCACCATACACAGGAATTAGTATCTCTTTTAGGTGTTGGACACTGCAGATAATAATCAAGTTCAACCCCAATAGGACTTTTTTCATTGAATACAACTTTATTTATATTAGGTTTATGTTTAGCAACCTCATTGTAACAGTCTCAATACGATATATAAAATCTCTTGTTGCAGTTTCGTTCTTCCCTTGTAATTCATCATCACATTCATTACTAACAGAATCACTTTTAGTTTTTGAGAAATAAATTTTTGAAATAATGGACAATTTTTTCGAATATTGCAATTTTCGCTGATAAAGTTTTAAAAATTCGTATAAAATCCAGTTGTTGGAATATGAGTGTGAAATTTTCCCAAAGTGATAATAAATGTGTCTTCTTTCCAATGAATCAACCCATTTTGAAAAATATCTTTTAGTTTTTGAGAAAACAATATTTGAAGTTATGATAAAATTTACGATGTTGAAATTTTCATCGATAATTTTCAAAAATCGCTATAAAATTCATTTCTTGAACGATCCTTGTGGAAATATCACCAATTATTAATTAAAGTATCCTCTTTTTAATACAACAAGCCGTTTTGAAAAATCGCTTTTAGTTTTTGAGAAATAAATTTTTGAAATAATCGACAATTTATTCGAATTTTGCAATTTTTGCCGATTAACTTTTAAAAATTCGTATAAAATCGATTTCTTGGAATATGAGTATGAAAATTTCCCAAAATGTTAATAAAAGTGTCCTCTTTCCAATGAACTAACACGTTTTGAAAAATAACTTTTAGTTTTTGAGAAAACAATATTTGAAGTTTTGATAAAATTTTCAAAATTCGCTATAAAATTTCGTTAAAAGTTTTAAAATCGTTATAACCGGTTTTCACTGTATACTGATGTAGTAAATAGATAATATGAATAGTATGACTTAATAATATTTTGTCCGTTATATCCGAAATTTTACTGTAACCAAATTACTTGTAACATCTCTGAGCATTGGCTATTAACGTAAAAAAAGACAATCTCAAATCATAATTACCTTACAATATCTGATAATATAATAATCCAAAGGATCTCCATTGTCATGCGGTACATTCCACCTTAATTCATAATGATCTGCATACGGACTGACGGTGACTTGTTCGTGAAATGGAACATTTCCAAAATCCCCAGGCGTTACTAAAATTTTAGGCTCTGTTGGCACAGATCGTGTCGGCATTGTGTATTCAACACCTGGTCCATTCCAACCGCCGATTCCCACATCGTTACCCGCAGCAAAAGCGAAATGATACGTTCTTTGAGGTTCTAAGTTTTCAATTATATACGGAGCATCTAAAAAAATATTTTAATTAATTATTTCTTTTAATTTTTATATATATTTTTCGATTACTTACTAACACTCCACGTTTTATTTCTCGCTAAATCCCACGGTTGATCATCCCTTCGATATCTACAAATAAACGTCCTTAAAGGCATCCCAGTGAAATGATGCGGTCCAACAATTTCAAATTTAATGGTTCTAGCGGTTACCATGTTAACTTTAACTTGAAGAATTGGATCGGGAACTTTAGCTTCTTTTAAACTGAACAACGCACTGCTTTGCCCCAATCGATTCGTAGCGATACATTCGTAATGAGCGTAAAGTTTTTGTTGTTGTCCTGGTGTCACGATCAATTGTGATTTTGGCCCGGTCCCTTCAATTCTAATACTCGGATTTTTCCCGTCTAATTCAATGTTGTTGTATCTCCATTTTATCGTTGCGTTTGGAAAAGATTCGGCAACGCATGTTAAATTGCCGGGATTGTCTCGCCACGTCCATACTTCGTAAATGTTTAGGGTATTGTCGAAGACCGGGGGGAATTCGACGGCTATGTGACCGTTTTTGAAAGCTTTATCGATTTCGTTGTCGGCGATACATTCGTAGAGGCCGTCGTCCGCTCTTCTTAGATTACGAATCGTTAAAATTCCGTAAGTTTCTCCTTTTTCGTTGTCATGAAAGTTTTCCATGAGAATCCTATCGTCGAATGGTTGAGAACCGATTTGGAAAAGATCAGTTCTACTTAACTTTTTAAATAAAACCTTTGGGGTTGGTCTTCCGTTGGCTTTACATATAATTTTCGTGTCGTTTCCTATTGGTGCTGTTATGTTAATTAATTCGAAAATTCTGGGTTTAACTCTAACAGTTATGTTTACTGATAATTCAGCTCTTCCAGCGGGATTTTCAGCTATGCATTTATAAACTGAGTTATCGTTAAATTCCGCTCTATTTATGAACATTTCCCCCGTATTTGGTCTTACATCAAATCGATCTTTCTTTGATAAATCCTCCCTTGAATCAACTTTAATCCAAGTATAATTCGATGGCGGTTTACTATGTGCTTTACAAACAACGGAAGCTGATTCGCCTTCAACAACGGTAGCACTTGGAATTGATTCGATCGTCGGTGGGATTTGGACCTCGACTCTAATATTTTTTTGATCATAACTTCCCGATTCAAGAACGACAGCTCGACACGTGTAAATTCCATCATCGGATTCTTTTACATTTTTAATTAATAAGCCGTCGTTTTCAACGATGTATTTATCGTTCGATTTTAAAGTTAAACCATTTTTAACCCAATCCACGATCGGAGCTGGATTTGCTTGGACTCTACATCTTACTTTGTAATCATTTGAAATTATGGGATATTGATACTCCGGAGCGTCAAGCCAAGTAATATCAACTAAAAAATAAAAATTAAATTAAAATTAAAACAAAACAAAACTTTTTTGAAGTATTTTACCTATTGTTACAACTTTTACCGTTGCTTCTAAAGGTGTGCTTGCGTAAGAAGCTCGACACGTGTAAACCCCCCCTAAATTATCTTGTAGCTTAGGGAACACCAAAACTAATCCGGGATCGTTTGTTAATTTCTAAAAGAAAAACAAAATAATTTTCCACGTTAATTATTTACGAATTAAATATATTAAATTAGAAAATACAATTAGTAGAGATACTTTAACAGTAACGCTTGGTAATTATACAATTCGCGCACCATCTGTACAATAATTCAGATCCCGAAACGGGAAAGTACAATCTGTTTACGTAGTACTAGTGCAAGGGGTTAATTAAATCGGCGAGAAAGGCGGTCCTCGTATAGCTCAAGCGTTTTCCGAAATTCCACGCCGTCGGAATATGAATGGGCCGTATTAAGGGCCGGTACCGCCCCGTACGGAGCCGGCCCTGCGCGTAATTAATTGAAATTAATTCCCCGGCTACGACGACCCTACATTGTAACAGACCGTTCTCGCCTCCTCGTCGTTTTTAAGCACAAAATATAATTCGCCCGACAAATCTCCCTAATTACGCCTCTGCGTTGTGTGTACGCGAACCCTCTTCTTAGAAGGCGTTTATTACCGGCGTAAAAAGAGACCAATTTCAGTTACAATTAGTTTTAAGAAAATTAGGGGGGGATAAGGAAAATACAAAAGGAATTTATTTAAAAAGGGTGGTAGTTTTTGAAATATTTATAAAGATTTAATGTTGCAACAATCTTCCGGCGCCTCCACCACTTAATCAAATCTTGTTAATTAAGAATTTTTTTCTAAATATCGATTACACCGAGTTTGAGGCTTTATCACAAAATTAGTTCAAGTAGTATAATCATTAAAAGTATATGAAAATATATGATGCCGAGGTCGCTTACGGCCGAGGCGCTACATTCCATTCATATTTCGACACAAAGATACTTAATATGATTAACATTTTTCATGACACGTTTCATTTAATGAATGTTCATATCGTAAAATGCACGATTCCATTCAATGAATCCGAGGACCGAGGAGCTACAACCTGATATAGACACAACATGTCGATTAAATTTATAACATTTTTGACATTTTCATTAATTTGTGCTAAGCATTTAATTGTTCTTTAAAGTTACAAAATGAACGATTTTGTATGATTAAGTCAAGGTCACTTGCAGCCGAGGCGCTACAATTCAGTACCATTTCAACACAAAACTGGATCAAATAGTAAAAAAAAATTTTAAATAAAAATTGTAATATTGGATATTATGGATATTGGAAAATATTTGACGAATCATTCAAACAAGTAGCAATTTATTTCGACATACCAGATTTATTAAAAGATTCTTTTTAAATCGATACTAACGTTTTGAAATGTTTCGGTGAATTGAGATTTTAACAGATAAATATATTTTATATAATATTTTATGAAATAAATATCATTCGAATTTGAATAATTTGTATGAAGAGAAAAATAACCTTGAATTAAGCGACTCTTTAGCTAAAAACGTTGGGAAATTCTTATTTTAAAATATCCAATTATCTCGAAGATAGGAAACATAAAAATTTTATGAATAAATACGAGTTGTGAACAAACTTTATTATTAGTTTATTTCGTACCTTGAGTTGTTAAGTTAAACAGCGAATTTGTTCAATTTTATTCTGCACGTGAACTCTGGAGAAGTACTACATAGTGAAGTAAAATTATTTCTAATGATTGTTAACAAGTTAGTTTCAATCGTTTTATCAGAAATCAAAAGGTTTGCTAGATTAGAATATAAATATTTTTGCATAGCATGAATTTCCCTAATTTATTTAATAAACTTATGTTTATTTGTGTTTTGGATTTGATATGCCATAAATGTACATCGATTATCAACGTGGTGACAAAATTCAACAAGAATGTAACCAAAAGTTGGAACGAATCTTTAGCTTAGTTTGTAGATGTTGGGACTGCTATACTCTGTTTTTAAACCAGGAGGAGTATTTTAAATTTGTCACCAGATTGACCTTGCCCGTGATTGGTTGAATGCGATGAAGGTTCACACACAGGCAATTTTGAATTTGAAGGTTAGGTAATTGATAATTCGACAGTTTCGTGTCATTATTGTATATTTTGTGTCCTTAAACCCTTTTTTATTATATTTTGAAATAAATAAATAATAATTATTAATTTAAATTTACCGCCAAAATATCTAGTGATATTTTCTGGTGATATTTCCCAGTGTAAATCTGACTTTCGCGTTTACTCCTCCTGGTTTAAAAACAGAGTATAGTTCTAGTGCAAGTGTTAGTTCTAGTTTTAATTGTTATTCAGCGCTAAGTTGTATATTTTTAAGTTTCGGGTTTAGCCCTGTGTCTTCAGACGCTGAATGTTAGGTAAGGTTAGTTTTGTTTACAAACATTAATTATACCATGAAGTATTCTTTGGCAATTTGTAATGGCAATTATAGCGTGAAGTTTTCTTTTGTAATGTCAATTATAGCGTGAAGGAATGTTAGGTAAGGTTAGTTTTGTTTACAAACATTAATTATACCTTGAAGTTTTCTTTGGCAATTATACTCTGTTTTTAAACCAGGAGGAGTATTTTAAATTTGTCACCAGATTGACCTTGCACGTGATTGGTTGAATGCGAGGAAGGTTCACACACAGGCAATTTTGAATTTGAAGGTTAGGTTATTGACAATTCGACAGTTTCGTGTCATTATTGTAAATTTTGTGTTCTTAAACCCTTCTTTATTATATTTTGAAATAAATACACTCATAACTTCAATGTTAATTTGTATGTATAGTGTTGACAATAACAAACGAAAATAAATACAATAATAAGTAAATAAATAAATAATAATAATTATTAATTTAAATTTACCGCCAAAATATCTAGTGATACTTTCTGGTGATTTTTCCTAGTGTAAATCTGACTTTCGCGTTTACTCCTCCTGGTTTAAAAACAGAGTATAGTAGGATGATATTGGAATACAGATTTTTATTCGGAAGTAATAAAGCGATATGATTTTAAGATATTTTAAGCTTAAGCTATTTTATTTTGGTTTTGGTTACAAGTGTCCATAAAGATAAATTAAGTTGGGGAAAGATGAGTTTTTCTCATAATAACTCAATGCAGAAACGATGTAGATTTTAGATTACAGTATGCAAGATTTGATGCATACTGTATAGAAATGATGCAAACTTATTAAGGACTGTATGGAGATTTTGTGGATTTTTAAACGAGTTACGATGTACTGTCCTGATATAGACTAAATTCCGTGCAGATTTGACTTGATAAAACATGGCGAGGACTTAATACATAGATGATATAGAATTTATACAAAGTCTATTTAGGCATGATAGAGTTTTAAATTTAGCCTTCGAGGTTTAATACATATATCAAGTCACAAGGCATATTAGAGATTTAATGCAGACTTCGATAACTTGATGTAGACTAAATAAGGACTGTATGAAGATTTTATGCATTCTTAAACGAATTTTGATGCATTCCTAGATACAGCATCAATGTAGACCGAATCAAAATACGATGTAGTTTTGATAAAGACATGATGGAGCCTGATGATGCATCCATTAAAATCGCAGGAATAATGGAGATATCTGGATGAGGAAGACCTGATACAAACTTGATGCAAAAAAGATTTGATGCTTACTGCTTTGACATGATGCAGACTTAATAAAGACTTATACAGTTTTTGTATATTTTTGAACGAGTTATGGTGTACTTGATACAGACTAAATTTTGTGCAGATTTGAATTGATAAAACATGGCGAGGACTTAATACATAGATGATATAGAATTTATACAAAGTCTATTTAGGCATGATAGAGTTTTAAATTTAGCCTTCGAGGTTTAATACATATATCAAGTCACAAGGCATATTAGAGATTTAATGCAGACTTCGATATCTTGATGTAGACTAAATAAAGATTGTATGAAGATTTTATGCATTCTTAAACGAGTTTTGATGCAGTCTTAGATACAGCATGGATGCAAATCGAATAAAGATATGATGTAGTTTTCATAAAGACATGATGGACCTGATGATGCATCCATTAAAATCGCAGGAATAATGGAGATATCTGGATGATGAAGACTTTATATAAACTTGATGTAAAGAAGATTTGATGCTTACTGCTTTGACATGATGCAGACTTAATAAAGACTTACAGACTTTTTGTGTATTTTTGAACGAGTTATGGTGTACTGTCTTGATGCAGACTAAATTCCGTCCAGATTTGACTTGATAAAACATGACGAGGATTTAATGCATAGATGATATAGAGTTTATACAAAATTTGAACATGATAAAGTTTTAAATTCAACTTTCGAGGTTCAATATATAGAGTAAATAAGGATTGTATGAAGATTTTATGCATTCTTAAACGAATTTGGATGCAGTCTTAGATACAGCATGGATGCAGACCAAATAAAGATATGATATAGTTTTGATAAAGACATGATGGAGTCTGATGATGCATCCATTAAAATCGCAGGAATAATGGAGATCTGATAAATGAAAACTTGATATAGACTTGCTGCAAGCAAGATTTCTTAAGATCTTTTGATGATGAAGACTTAATACAGATTTATTATATTTTATTTTACTTGATGTAGAGGTGATGTAGGTTTTATATGCAATTGTCTTGTCGTTGGCATGACAGGTATAGATATGACAAGACGCATTTAGAAAGTCATAACCATAATTGGACCGCGTTATGTATCACTTGACTAAGCGACAAATGACCAATGTTGAGAAAAACGGGATTTTCGTTTTCATCTCTCTAAGAATATGACAGGCTCAAAATATTGAAAATTGTTTGGTTCCTATCTATTTTTATCACAGAACACTGATGACAGCCATCACAAGCACAGAATCCGCTTGGTCAGTCATTTTACGATTATACAGGATGTTTCTGTAAGTCATAATTGTGTTAAGTGGCATGAAATTAATTACATATACTAGAGTCAAAATGATGTTTTATGTAAAAATTTTTGAAGAAAATTATCTAGATTTTGTACTTTTCAACTGGTTTCTATTTTATATAGAATTTAAGTCTAACTAGTTTCAGCACTTGGCCATCTTCAGAGACTCTACAAATAGATTAACATCTCTCATCTTATCCATTTTACAAAGAAGTTTCTTAATATTTCTTTTCCTTTTGTTAAAAAAGATCACATATCAAAGTCGAAATCAGATTATTAGTTACTTATTTACAAAATTAAAGTTTAAAAAGTTGTAAAATGAAATTAAGGACGAAGTGTTACAAGTTTACAGGTTAAAATTTAAGAACTTTTAAACTCTCTCTTAAAAATCGACGATTTTTTTTAATCATTGTGAAACGACCCAAAAAAAAAGTTAAAAATAAAAAGAAAATGTTGAAAAGTGACTAACACTAGATTAATTTCAGTTATAAAACTTCTATTATATGAGCACTAACTTCAGGTTTAAAATGTCAACCTCAATTTTGACATATTTGTAATCTATATTAAAAATCCTTTAAAATGAGTACAAACACGACATATTTATCTTCAATATTAATGAAGTTATGGTCAACTTCCGGTTAAGAATGTCAACGTCAATTTTGACATATTTGTAATCGTCGTGAAAAATCCTTTAAAATGAGTCCAAACATGATACGTTTAATTCCAATATTACTCGAGATATAAGCAACTTCCGGTTTGAAATGTCAATGTCATTTTGACATATTCTTAATTTTTATAAAATGTCTTAATATTTGTCACAAAAACAAAAATATAATAAAAAAAAATAAAAAATTAAGGTTGGTATTAATATTTAAAAATTAAATTGCTATCTTCATTGTTGCTAACTTCGGGTTTAATGTTTTTTATTCTAACTTTTTTGTTTTTTGAGATAAGTGCGTCATCTTTGGACTCATTTTAAAGGTTTTTTAATGAAGATGACAAATATGTCAAAATTGACGTTGACGTTTCAAACCGGAAGTGATTGTATTTCCATTAATATTAAAGTTAAATATGTCGAGTTTGGACTCATTTTAAAGGATTTTTTATGAACTTGACAAATATGTAAAATTAATAGTTGAAAGTTCGAACTTTTTGGTTTTTTGAGAGAAATGAGTCATATTTGGACTCATTTTAAAGGTTATTTTATGAAGATTAGGAATATAATCGAATATAATTGAAGTTGACATTGACAACTGAAAGTTTTTTTCACGATTAAACCCGAATGTTTCTAGTTCTCGTTCTAGTTTCAGTTCTATAAAAATATACAACATAATAATATCTTAACTAACACTAGACCTAGACTAGAATCATTCGGGTTTAGCCACACGTCTCTCAAGACGGCTAAACCCGTATGATTCTAGTTTTAGGTCTTGTGTTAGTTCTAGTGTAAAACTAAAAAAATTGTAGGTTCATCTATTTTTTCTATTGTAGAATTTCTTGGTGTATCTAAGTGTTTCAGTGTCGTATCTAAGTCGGTTCTTAAACTTTAAAACAAATGGTATTTTAGGTCTTTCGGTATTTTGCATATTTTCTAAGGTAAGTTACACCTTTACCTACCAGACAGCATGAAAATCTCTATAAACGATAAAATGTCGCTTAGTCAGGTGATGTATAACGAGGTCCAATTAAGGTTTGATGCAGATTTAAGAAGGAATTTTGGTAGCACTTTACTATAACATCCTCCGAGTTACTAAACATATGGAAAATGAAACGAAAATGGTTTTTATACAAGTTAATTTGTTCTACATGTAAATACTGAGAAATATCAAAAGTAAATAAGCTTACAAATTAATTAAGATATTTTAAAGGTTCTGTTTTAAATACACCTGTTTTTTGTTAAAATTTTAAAATTAATTCATATTAAATTTCACTAAGCTTTTATATTTTTTTCTACTATACATCTCCAAAACGTTACATCCGCTACACTTTACTTTTCTTCGTTTTATAACCTTATTTGCATTTTATCCGTTTAAAAAATCGCATCTCGCCCGGTACCATTAGGGGCCTAATTGAACGGGGGCTCCAAACGCGAGCATCGCGCTTCGCCCAAAAGAAAGCACGTAGAAATTAATTAAGTTGTTGCGGGTGAAAAATACAGGACCCTCGATAAGGGGCCAAGCTGCATTGTCCGTGGACGAAAGAGTTTTTAGCAGTAAATCACCAGACAGTTTTAAGGGCCTAGCTCGGTTTATCAGACGAAACCCCCCGGTCGTGGGGGTTAATGTCCGACCATACCTCAAACGGTAGATAACTGCACCCGGTGGTTTATGTGTTTTCAAAAGCAAAAAATCCGAACGAGATTATCTTTTCGATAACGAATCGGATAAAAAGTATGAAAGAACCTATCGCGTGCAGGTGATCAAACAATTTTAAAAAATTGGATAAAAATATATAAAAATAATGAATGGAATCAATTAATATTTACAAAAAAAAGATGTTGTATTAAAATTATTTTTTTCGTTTTATCTTTGTTTTTAAAATTGCCTTTATGGTTGAATAGCCATTTTAATCTTTTAATCTGTGTGTTATTTTCAGTCTAAAGCGTAGGGCAAAATAGCAATGGCCCATAGGAAAAAGAAGGAAACTCCTCTAATTGCTCGCAGCTTTTACAGCGTAATTTCCCAACCTGCTACTGCGCAATTTTCCGGTGTTATTGCCGTGACGATAGCCCCGTTTCGCGTTGGAATCCAATCCAGGTTTTTACATTGTTAAAAACATCAAAAAAAAAAAGTTTTAAGAAAACGAATTTACCTCTGCATGCATTGGTGCATCTGAATTAGTATTTTCTATCAAGCGTCCTCTTGGATCCCTCCATTCTAGTTGAGTTACCAAGTTGGGTTCGGGTACACGTGGCCTGCACGTTAAAGCCAAACTACTTCCAACTTGTTTGGTAACCACTGGCAAGTCTGGTTTGATCTCCAAAGCTGGATTATCATTTGCATTGACATAAACTGAAACAAAATCAAAAAATTATTAACGAGAAAAGTTTGATTGTGTTTTTAATAATATAATCCTCGAGGGCTGTAAGTTCTCATTAGTGAAGGCGGTATAAATATAGTCCAGTCGAGACGCCTTAATGGTAATTAATGTTCCTTTAATTAGGTCACCGATACGGTCCTGTCGACCAGAATTTATCTCAGTACGGTTTTTAATTTTTAATTAATACATCGTGGTGTTTTAAATTTAAATAAAATTTAAAACAACAAGAAAAAAAGTCTTTCAGTTTCGTGTTAATAATTGAATTTGCAATTTAAACCTGTAAAATGTATGTTGCATAAAACATGGATAAAACCGACAGCAATTAAAGCGGGCATAATAAGTTGGGTTTACGAATTCATGTAGCACACTTTTGACAGAATAAAATCAAAATCGAAGGTCGCCAATACATTTGCCATTTTAATTCATCATTTAATTGTTCGTCGAATTTCATTAACCGAATTAGGCACGCGTTGCGTTTCGAATTTCACAAACATTCATATTATTCTTTTTAACGTTTAACATATTTCAATAGCGACGTTAATTATTTTCACACATCTCATTTATTCATGCGAACTATTCATTAAAATTATTTGTCATTTCGTATCAAGTTATTCAATTGTAAATATTAATACGAACAAAAATAATAAAATGAAAAACATTGTTATTGTTAGGAGAGTAGTCAGTGAGTCAGAGCTTTTATAGTCTCGTCACCATTAAACACCCCCCTTTTAGCTAAATGTCAATCGCAGTTTGTTTTCCCTCCGTTCTGATGATGGATGTCTCGATCAAATAAAATGATTCACAGGTCGATACACTTTGCTTTTTCTTGCTTGTTTTTGGAATAATCCCCCTTTAACATATGCCAAATAATGCGCTTATAACTTTTATTATTTGAGAAGTAACATGTGTTACAATAATAATAAAATATAGTCAAAACTTCGATATAACGGATTAATACGGGGAAGGGAGTGTTCGTTATAGCTAAAAGTGTGATATATATACAACAATCATAATTTAGATTGTTATATATTTTTTATTGAACTAAAATTAGCACTAACACTAGACCTAGAACTAGAAAGTTTCGGGATTAGCCCTCCGTCTTCAGACACTAGACCTAGACAAACACTAGAACAACAACTAGAATCATTCGGCTTTAGCTGTGTTATGAGACGCAAGACTATACCCGCATGTTTCTAGTTCTAGTGACAGTGCAAGAGTAAAACTAGAACTAACATAATACCTACAACTAGAATCATTTGGGTTTAGCCGCACGTCTCTAAAGACGGCTAAACCCGAATGATTCTAGTTCTAGGTATAGTGTTAGTTCTAGTTTTACACTTGCACTATCACTAGAACTAACACTAGAGCTAGAAACATTTGGGTTTAGCCGCACGTCTCTAAAGACGGCTAAACCCGAATGATTCTAGTTCTAGGTATAGTGTTAGTTCTAGTTTTACACTTGCACTATCACTAGAACTAACATTAAACCTAGAACTAGAAACATTTGGGTTTAGCCGTCTTTAGGGACGTGCGGCTAAACCCGAATGATTCTAGTTCTAGGTATAGTGTTAGTTCTAGTTTTACACTTGCACTATCACTAGAACTAACACTAGAGCTAGAACTAGAATCATTCGGCTTTAGCTGTGTTATGAGACGCAAGACTATACCCGCATGTTTCTAGTTCTAGTGACAGTGCAAGAGTAAAACTAGAACTAACATAATACCTAGAACTAGAATCATTTGGGTTTAGCCGCACGGAGAGAAAGACGGCTAAACCCGAATGATTCTAGTTCTAGGTATAGTGTTAGTTCTAGTTTTACACTTGCACTATCACTAGAACTAACACTAGAGCTAGAACTAGAAACATCTGGGTTTCTAAGAACTAGAAAGTTTCGAGTTTAGCCGTGCGTCTTCAGACTCCAAATCCGAATTGTTTAAATTAAAGCGGAAGTGAGGCAAGGAGATGGGTTGTTGGCACAAACATTCAACCTAGTACTGTACTCAGTGATTGGTGAGCTTGACAAAGGAGGAAAACTGCCTTCTTCTTCTCTTGATCCTCTTGCATTATGGCATCGGATAATTTTTTTATTCCTCCATCCACCTCTTCCACTCCCTCCGGTTCCTGACTAATTCCTTTATATCTGCTAGAGTCTTCCCTCTCTTCTTCCCAACTTCTGCTATTCTTTCCTCCCACTTATTTCTAGGTATTCCTCTATTTCTCTTATCCTTATTCTTTGCTTCAAATACCTTTTTTGCTATTGTGTTATGCTCCATTCTAATACTGCCCAAATACCCATATAATGATACTTCTTCTATCTTTTGTTCCTTAATATATATTTCTTTCGGATTATCTCTTATTTCCTTTTTATTATCACGATTTTACATTTATGTTCAATATTTTTACTCAATCTTTTCAATTATGTCCGTATTTGATATATTTATCTGTCCATATTTCAAGCAACTTCTATGGGAGGCAAACTTCCAAATCGCATATTCTGATGATCATAATCAGTGATGAGTAGTGCGAAGGAGGAAATTATTGAAATGTGTAGAAAGATGGAAGCAAGCACAAAACAGGTGATAAACAAAACAAGGACAAAATATGTGAATGTGTCAAGGGACGAAAAAGTAAGAAATTCCGAAACTATATACATCAAGGACTACAGCTTTCAGGGTGTCAAGAACTTCAAGTGCCCAACCACTGTATACAGGGTAATTCAAATTCGACCCCCTCCATTGGGATCTCAAAAACCATAAGAGATACAGAAATGGTTTATTTTTTCTTATGAACGTCATTTTTTCATTAAAAAAACATTGAATTATTCAAAAAAAGAAAACCTGATGATAGTTTCACGAAAACCAAACCTCGGAGAAAATTTCTAGTTGTGTCATGACATTTTTCATAAAAAGTTGCCTCAGGAATGTTTTTTCAGATTGACGAAAACACGAAAAATAAAGAAATTATAGGCAAAAAACGAAAAAGTAATTTTTTTGTTTTTCGGTCATAATTTAAAAACTAAAACGGCTAGATCCAAAAAAATGATAAGCAACTTTGCCGTCATTAAACCATTTCTGTATCTCTTATGGTTTCTGAGATCCCAATGGTGGGGGTCGAATTTGAATTACCCTGTGTATTATGTACTACTTCATAAATACGATTGCGAATGCAATAAAGGAAAGGATAAAAGCTATTTGCAGCTTTTATTAATGCTTAAAATTATTTCGCTCAAACTTATTTCAAGCACTGGAAAGATGAAAATGTACAAAGTGCTAATAAGACTCGTTCTGACATACTGGGCAGAAACATGAACATTGAATATCGCAAATGAAAACGTATTAAGGGTGTCAGAGAGGAAGTTGCTTCGTAGAATATATGGAGGAGTGTGTGAAAACGGAATATACCGAAGCCGATACAACTATGAATTAGATACGTTGAGAAAAGCCCAAAATGGATCATTGGCGTAGTAACTGGAATATCTAGAAAACCTAGAAAGCTTTGTAAAGATGAGATATGCCAGAATCTGAAGAAGATGGCTGAGGACACAGTTAGATGGAAGATACTAACGTAAGAGGCCAAACCCCAGCCTGGAGTGTAGTCCCAAAGGATAAGGACAACTATATAATAAGCGTTTATTATTTATAATTTTACAACATTATAACAATACCCAAACTATACATCCAAACTCTGCTTCTTGTTCATCGCCTCCTCCTTCGGCTCATCAACCTCGACTCAACCCAACCCAACCCAACCCAATCCTCTTCACACAGCCTACACCACCTCTCCACATCGTCTGCCCAGTACCTGTTCAATCTCTCCTAATTGCCACAGCGAAATTTGGCCACCAATCTCTTCCCTTATTCATCCCCCTCCATCAACAGATACTTTGGCAGTTCCTATGTCACTATCTAACCATACCTTACATACTTCGCGTATCTGTGACCTTCTTTCCTGCCTCTGTATGTCCTTGTCCCTATCCCTAAGTTATCCACATTTCACTTCTCTCCACTCTTTTATTGTCGATCCCAGTTAGTGAATATCCCACTATCCTTCCCTATAATATCTCCCTGCTCATATATCAACCTCTTCTCCTTGATTTCCCACCAGCACTGTCCCAAGATCCTGCAATGCGCTCTTCCATCTATCCTTTCCTCGTATTTTACTGCTTTTCTCAATCCTTACTGAATTCACCTTAACCTCCTCCCTCACTACATAATCTGGAGTCTCCCTCGCCAACTTTAGTACCCATCTCCAATACCTTGTTTGTGCATTCTCCAGCAATCCTTGTCCTCACCATCCCCATACTTCTGCGCAGTACATCATTGCGCTCCTCACCAAGCTTCAAACATAACCTTTCTTTTTCCCAAAACCCTCCCAAATGTTTTCTCCCCCCATCCCCAAACCTGTCTCATCATCCTGTTCACTCTTTTTACCATCCTTATTACTCTCCGAGAACCGACGTCCCAGGTACGTATACTCTTTCCCTGGCACCTCCATTCACTTTGCAGCATTTCATGATCTTTGCCTTCTCCACGCTTACCTCCAACCCCTTTGCCTTAAAATATCTATCCAGAGACCTTATCATTTCCTTCATCTCCACCCTCTCTCTTGCCACGACCATCAAATTACTCGCATACGCCAACACGTGCACCTTCGTTCCTTCTATTACAACCTCACCCGTCTGCTCCCTCCTAAGACTCTCTTCCAAGTCTCAATCCCTTTGTCGTCCAGAATACCTTGCTTAACTTTACTATCGCTTAACTAGGACAACTATCGAAATTATTTCTCTTTGGCTACATTTAATAACTTATAATTGTTGCTGCCATTCGCTTTCATAATTTTTATCATGCACTGTGTAAAGGAAAACTTTGTTCAGTGTATAACGATCAGTTGATGGAATCAATAAGATTATGGACATTGTAAGTGGAATTATTAACTTATAATAGCCATGAGTCTCTCAAGAGTGCAGTATAG